TAACATATAATATTAAATATTTTTTTGTATAGATTTTGACATTATTGCAAACTTGCATGCAATATCAATTGTTAAAATGTTTTGAAATTACAAAAATATTTCTGATATATTTTCTTTTTTATTATTCTATTATTTTTATTCTCTGTTTATTATTTTCATTTTACTATAAAATACATTTTGAATTTATATAAAAATTAGAATAAAATTATTTTACAGTATTTGTGTTTAAGTTTGTATCGTAAAACAAAAATCAATCGGCTATTACATTTTTCTCCGAGTGGAAAGGTAAAAAGCAAGATTTTTTAATGTGAATTTTGCCGATATCGTGATCATGTAACTTTTTTTTTGAGATAGTACAATGAAATTTGGTTGAACAAACTCCTCGTGAAATTTGAAACGATGAAAAGCAGCAAATGAAAGAGTGGTTTGACTATTATGTGATCGATTTTCTCTTTTCCACCCAATACTCGATATTTTTATATACATTAAACTTAAAAAATATCTATTAATAACACAAATCAAGATATAAAAATTATATCTTCACTAGATTTAGTGACGAGTTTAATTAAAAGTTTCTATCTGTGTAACATTGACATCCTTTGCAAAGACAAAAATTGCAGAACAAAATCGATTTGATATCACATAAGTTCTTTGATTTCATTTCTGCAAACTTTCACAAATCGGAGATCGTTTATCTGTCAATAATATCTGTTACAGAATTGTGGCGTGTAAGCTTCAGTGAAATAATTTCCAATAAAATCTCCGCCGGAAAGTATTTACGGATATATAAACACATAAGTCTTGGTCCCCATTTTTTTTTAAATTGAATACAACTGTATCGCAGATAAAGATAACGTGGCTTTTCAATGATGCTTTGCGGCGTTTAAGGATTAATTTACAGCAACGGCTAATCGTTACACAAAACCGTCCATTGATGTTGCGTCATGTCAGTCAGCAATGACATTGTTTATGCCTCTCGTTCGAAAATTTTACTGTCTGATGTAATATTTCTTCCAAACAATTTCCAATTTTACTACAGCTACTTTCGCTATGCAATATATATTGATGTGTTTTATTCAAGTTTCAATCCGTAACAAAATTTTGAACACTTATGATTTATTTTATGATGCCTGTGTGTGTGTGATTAACTATTATGTTTATTAAATGTTACGTATATTTTTTTTTAGTATACATTTGCCATTTGATAATTTTTATATGATAAAAAGATTTGTTTGTTTCTTTATTTTTGATAATAAATATCTAGATAATGTTTTTTAGTCAATAAAATTATGTGATGGATTGGTATAATCAAATACAATGTTTCAATAATATTTATAATTGTTAATTTTTTTTTATGGTAATCTCTCTTATGGTTTGAATATAAAACGCATCGTTTATTTATTGCGCATTTTCTGCCGATTACATGAGAGTTTGCCGCATTCGCCGAGTAATAAAAACCAGTTTATATTTTTTTTCTAACGATCACGAATGTACGATCATCGATGGCTCTTATCGAGAATCGAGTCGGTGGCTCTTATTGCGAATTGAACGCAACGCGAGCGAACGCTTCATTTTTACTGCGGTTTCACCATTTGCAATAGCGTCTCGTAGCGATTAATTTAAAGGATCGACCACTGGAGCGCGATAGCGTCTATCGGGCTGCTGCCGTGTCGTCAGCTCCGGCGGCTTTCATCGATGCATTCGGATCGATAGTGCACCCGGTTACTCTTTCCATCCGACCGCGCCTTTAATTATTGTCGACCACTCTTCACCTGGCATTTGCACGCGTATCTTGCTGTTGTTTCTATACAAAATGTTTGAGCAAACATTTCTGAATCGATTTTGTATGATACTATAATTATTGTGCATACCACGAGAGAATATATATAGAAAATCGGTTTTCCTAAAATAAATCTTCGTTTCATAAAATATCTCATCCAATCTATCTATAGCTACTTTTATATATCGTTTTTTTAAAGATTTCTATTGCTACTATTACATTTATCACCTTGATTATTCGTTCACAAAGTCTCAGACTCTACCAAACTCTAAAAATATATTCTAAATTATATAGAAATAAAATTACGAATTTGTCACGAAAATTCGCTTTTAAAGGGAACATTCGGTGTAATTTTGCTTCGGTTCGATAAAGGGATAATTTAGATATTCTATGAGCTATTAAATTGGTTATAGCGGCGTGTGTGATCAACAGTATGGTTAGGTGAACTGTGAACCAATATTCAGAAGCTGGTATCTTATCACGGCATGGTCTGCTCGTTGCAGTAAATCCGAGCAAGAGCCGTGTATGCAAGTACGTTGACGTACTTGCATTAACGTGATACGCTGTCGTGTACGCTTGATCGTATAGTACCTACAATGTGCATGCATGATACCGGAAGTGTCGGCAACTCCACGTTTGCGTACGGTTGACGATATCGGCGATACATCCAGGAAAATGTAATATTATTCATTTTGGTAAAATAAAATTTCAAATAAATTTCCCCATAAAGCGGATGATAAAATTTTATAAAAATGTTTTAATTACATCAAACTGTGACGACGGTTATTGTAACCGTTTTACAAATTATAGGAAATTAAGAGATTATTATTTATTGTTATTATCATTCATTGTACATTCGCATATTTTCAGTAATAAATATACATATAATTACATTCAACGCATGCTACGTATAATATTTCGAATTCATTCTATATCCATATTTTCAGTTTGATTTAAAGTAATTGTTTTAATTAGCGTGAGTATTGTTAATATTAAGAGACTATGATTTTCCGTGTTAGAAAATATTTCCAATATTAAAGATAATAAAGTCAAGAGTCAATTATATATCATGAGAAAGTCCGAATTTAATGTACAAAGAAATCTCGCGAAAACAGGCATTCAGCAATTGTTAAACATCGAAGAAATGTCGCCCGAACATCTGCGATTATTCGCAAGGCTCGATTCATTTAATTACGGCGATTAATTTAACCG